TATTTAAATACAAAGAAAACCAACCTGAAGCTCTTCTTCTTGATGAGTGATTTGTGTCCTTGATTTTGACATTGTGACAGTGTGTATGGGGAAGTTATTCTTTGCTTTGGCTTACTCACTTTTAACTGTGCTTATTTACTATACCGTGCACTGTTGCTTCACACTGTTATTATTGTTTACATTTATTATACGCGAATTTATTTTGTCGATTACTTCTTGTTACACAGTGCTGCTTGGGCTTTCAACCGCAGCATGTTGTAAATACTGTGCGTAAATTTACAGCTATGTAAACAGCCGACACCAGTTGCTGCAATGGTGTGTCCCCCCCCCCCTCTTTTTTTTGACAGCTCTTGGCATGCCTCATGAAAACCAACACCTGCAAAGATCAGTTCATTGCCCTTTAGGTCTTTAGGCTAGGAGCTTAAGAAAATGAAAAAAGAAACTCTCTTATCCTATTACGTTCCAGCCTGCTGGATCTGAGATAACTCGGATCATGTCAAGCGCTTGGGCGGCGCACGATGGCTCGCCTAATAAACTCATAAAGTCTTCCGAAAAGTGTTGTGTGTCCTGCCTGACTTGGGAACTATGACGTACGATCTTTCTCCATGTAGAACCCCTGTTTGAGCTAGTTGACAGCGAACCATGCATGAAAAAGTTTGTGGTGAAACAGACAACAACAAAGGAACCAATCCTTTTCTTCGGGTATAGATTGTGCTGTGAATTCCTTCGAGTCACTCACCCTGTCAACTGTTGTTTGCGCTCTTCGTGCTCACACCGCTCACTCTACGCATTTCTTCAAGGTGTGCGATCTCTTCGTCTCCGCACGTGTGAATGGCAGGGAAGAGCAAAGTTAATGGGGCTTCTTTGCAAATTTCAGCTTTGACCAGATTGGTTATGAGTAGTGTTACCACCGAAGCACTCCGCACAAATTTTCACAGCTTATAGTAGCAATGCACTTATCTGGTTGCCAGGCTCTAAAAATCGCTTGAGCAGACCACGAATGTGCTTACTAGTTGGTGGGGCTGTCACTTGCAGCATGTTGCACCACAGGCTACCACGGCCCCTGTTTTATCTCTGAGCTTATCCCAAGGAGCCAAACATGTAAAGCTTGTAACGACCAACTGCATTTTATTTTCTTCGATTTTTGCGCAAGAACATTTCCTGTAGCCTTTCATGACTCCTCTGCTGTCTCTTCAAGACAGATTCTTCATGCAGGCCTCTTTACTGTAACGGCCATAACAATAAAGGCAACACAATAACCTCTAACTGGTTAAACCGGTCCTCAGTGATTGAAAGATGTGTTATCATTGAGAGCGTTCCATAAAAGTTATTGTGTGCCAACTTTTAACGGGAGACATATGCACATTTGCTTTTTATGAATCATAGAGGAACAAACAAATGTGTAATAGGTGCCATGAGCCGCTAGCATTACGATCAAATTCAATTACACGTCCATATATCAAAACGCATAGACATGTATGCGATGCAGACACTTTCACATGCTGTACAAGTTACGTGGGTCATTTCTCCGTACGTTTATTTTCGAAGATGAGGCCCTCATATCTATGACAGGCACTGTTTATTTAGGATAACCATAATTTTTGAATAAGCTTGAAGTACTGCAGCACACACTCCATTTACTAGACTAGCAAAATATTGTTGCCCTGTGCCACTGACCTGTCTTACTGCTGCTGCTTAAGGCTGCTTCTGTAGAAGTCGACTTAAAGCATATGCTGCTGCCATATTGGGCTCAAGAACAATGGCGAGGCAGTAATACAATGTGCAGTAATTGTGAATTGATATGCGAAAATTTAGGGCCTAGTAATGCTCTGCTTTCGTTTTCAGTGTCTAAAATGCATGCCATATCGGCATAACCGACTCAAATACTCACATCAGAGCCTACAGTACCTTTAGCGCCCAGAGTGCCATACCAGGACAGGGGTTATCCTGAACAGTACAGTACTCGCAGTAAGTAGTCTGCGAGTACTGTACTGTTCAGGATAACCCGTGTCCTGGTATGGCACTCTGGGCGCTAAAGGTACTGTAGGCTCTGATGTGAGTATTTGAGTCGGTTATGCCGATATGGCATGTATTTTAGACACTGAAAACGAAAGCAGTGCAATACTAGGCCCTAAATTTTCGTGTATCAATTCACAATTACTGCACATTGTATTACTGCCTCGCCATTGTTCTTGAGCCCAATAAGGCAGCAGTGCCATACCGAGACATGGGTTATCCTGAACAGTACAGTACTCGCAGTAAGTAGTCTGCAAGTACTGTAAGTGTCCTGACAATTTACATAGTCATTGGACTCACTCCATACCAATCGAACACCCCATGGGTCATTGTGATAATTTTAATCTGTATATGTTACATGCATTAATAAAGCAAATAATCTTAGGCCCCTCTATAGCCATTGTTAATTGTACACTATCTTTTGTCCATCTCGTCGCTAGTCCAGCACAGTCTTGGTTGCTTTTGCGCCAGTGGACACTACTTGGCTGATTTTTGTACCTTCGGTAACATCATCATCTGAATTGCTGTAGAATACGTTCTTAGCTCGTCTTATGAGGAGCGCTACAAGATTGCAGATCTAATTTTTTTTTTTTTTTGCTTGATGTGGCTTTTTCAATGCTACCATTTTATGGCAATGTAATAATTCCAATGTCTTTCACTGACATAAAAATATGCTGGATATAAAATAGCACACAACTGTAGTGTCTTTTGGTTTTCTGTTACTTTTAAACTACACGCAGCTTTAAGGGCATCTAGCTAATGGCAGATGCTCAGGTCACAGAAACTTTGTTACAAAGCAACAGCGCCAAAGTCAGAAAGTGATGAAATGTTCATTGATTTTATAAGTGTAACATTTCACATTAACTTTTGCATTAATTCTATTTGCTAACCCAAGCTTGCATGTCACTTTTCACGCTGAACACAGCACTGAAAGCGTTTGATTTCTCCTGTCAATCATACAGCGTAATAATAACTTGAAGGCTCTGACAATGAGGGCGTGAAATGAAACACGTGTGCGTCCATTCGTGCCACGGTCGTTCCAGCCGGCCTGTCGCAATTCCATGGCACACCCTTGCTACTGCATTCCGCTTCATTGTAGGGCTGGCGAACGTGGCTGCCAGGTTTTATTCTTGGATCGAGGGGGGCAGGTGGCAATGATTCAAGAAGAGTGGGAGCACAATCTCCGGCCCCTCATTGTCGGCTTTAGTTTTCTATTATGAGTGTCTCCCCTTCTCTGCCTCTGTCACCGTTGTTGGTATTGTTTGTTTTCAGTCACTGGCCTTGTGTGAGAGACCATTGCCAGGATTGAGGGCACGAGGCACTCGTTAGTGAATCGAAGGAACTGTGGACGAAAACTCACACTAGCTGAGTGCCATGTTTGACGATTTGGCGCATAGCCATACCTTGTAAGGTGGTGGAGTGTGTTGGCAATTAATTTGCACTGAATGAGGTAGTAATGTAGTTACATTGTGTCATCTCACCCTCTCAACTGCGTGAAATGCTTCATTATGAGTCCTGCAAGTGAATGGTGAGTGCACGTTAATACTCTCTGTAGTATTAATACTCTCTGTAATATTATCAACCAACTAGCCAACCAGTCAATTTTAAGAATAATATTCTTATGTCACTAATCACACTGAGGTAAATGTGATGGACGAAAACAAGGATAAAGTAAATCTGGTTGCATTTTTATAGGACCAAAAAAAGGATAAACTTGTGCCAGGATGTTAGGTGCCAGTTGTGTTGGTTGAATGCACGTAGACAGAATATTTGTGAAGTAGCCAGGGAGGTTACAATAGGATGAGCAACCAAGAATATTCCTGGCTTATTCGGATGGCAATTAGTGCTGTTTTCACAAAGAGGCAAGAGAGAAATTGCTTATTTTGTTGTGATGCTACCCAGGAACACTTTATCAAACCGATTCTGTCGCCTTTGCAATTAGATGCACACCACCCCATATTTTTTTTTTTTTTTAAGAGTCTTTCTTGGGGACCTTTGACGCAAAAACTTTGGTCTGTCTGTCTGTAAGTTTGTCTGTCCGTCATTGCCGGGAATTGGGTACTCTAAACAGCACCAGTCGATACCCCGAACGGCCGACCCCATCCACAGCGCCCACCAATGTTGCTCAGGGATCAGCGTTCATATTTGTGCGATTGTCAATTAAAAAGCAGTTATTGCGCATATCTGAGGCACTATAATAACATGTATATGTTCTGCATGTTCGTCTTTTACGCTGCGCTGACCATGCAATGCTTGCACATAATGGCAAGTGTTTGCAACGCTTTGTTAAAACGACACGGTGGTGGCACCTACTTGTCGCCTTGCGTTCTACACCTTATCACCTCTGAGACGGGCGTGCATGCCCGTCTCAGGGCCACGCGCTTTGTTTTCAAAAAAAAAAAATAACTGCCAGATGGCGCTTATGTCTCATGTGTGACGTGACTTGATGCGCTCGTGCGCCTCCACTGCACGCTCGAGGCGCCTCCGGAATACCATTCACCTATTTTCTTGCGCAGAACATCAAATAAATGTTTGTTCACTCTCTCCACACGCAAGACTATCGTCTTTTGACGACATTTGCAGATTACATGCAGATACGGGGCCAATTTTTTTTACTTGGAGATCAAAATTGAAAATATGAACTGCGCAAAGAATCTCTATGAGGTAGCATTTCAGTCGTTGAAGCCTTTAAGAAGAGACTGTCATATTAGCGAGCTACACGAAACATTAACACCTCTTTATCCACATGTTTTACTATGAGGACATTTATTAGTGCTCGTAGTAGAACAGTTTAAGGGTTCGGACAAATGCAGCAAATTTTTATTTAGGCATCCTTTCGTGGTTTCGCTCCATCTCCAATTTGTTGGCTCTTCATTGTGGATGCTTTACTCTATTCACATCTTGCAGCGTAAGCGGTCAGTCTCGTATGGTCTTGCTCAAAGTTAGTACGATTCCGTACGAGCAGTTGCTTCATTCTCGCGCAGGGTGGCAACAATGCGGGGCACACGGTCGTCGTGGAGAGCGTCCACTACGACTTCCATCTCCTTCCCAGCGGGCTGACCAACACAAAATGCACGGCCGTCGTCGGTGAGTCAGTTTCACGTGAAACGCGTACGTTTGTCTTGCATGGATTAGATTTGAAAGATGCGCTGTGTGTGCACCAACTTTTGATGATGAAATGTGTGCATAAGCAAACACTTTCTCAAATCTTTCTAACGTGACGTGCACATGTGTACACGCCGGATCACGTTTACCATTTCCGTGCACTAGTCACAATCTAGAGACACGAACTCTGATGTAATGGTAAATTGAACATTTAGGTTACATAAAGTGCTTATTTATTATTTCTGGCTGATATAATTTGCTACATGCAATAACTTTAATGAAAGCAGTACCGATTTTGAATGAGGTGTTCAAGGAGGTGTATTTTAGTAGCACTTTAGAAATATTTAATATTGTTTGGGAATGATTGTAGTCTTGAGGTGACCATTGGATTAATTTGTGTAGGTAATTGAATTCATTTCATCAAGCAATATTGCATGACTAGTAGTTAGCTTAATTAGATAATTACACTATGCTTTCAATCAGGTGTTGTGTAATACACTATAGTTGATTTAAACATTTACACTTGCCTTAAATTGAGTCTCTAGAACCTTTGCTTCAAGTTATACAAATCTCATGCACATATAGTTTATAAAAATGCATGTCTCAAAGTGCTGAAGATGTGCACTTGAAAGTGTATATTTTGTCGCAGAGGATGTTTTGCTAACAGTTGTTTCAGTGTATAATTTGGTGGAGAGCATATTTGCTAAGCATCGTGAGACAAGCGGCAGTGTAAGTGGCTCTGCATTTGAGGACTGGAGGATGGCTATCTTTGCCAAGCTCTCCACCTCGGCATTTGAGCGTTCGAGCGCTTCAAGGCTGTTGTACTGCCGCATGTTCGTTTCAAAAGAGCTGTGAAGGTTAGCATCCACAGACAAATGCGCCTAGTGATTCGTTGCTTTAGAGTATCGTTATGCCAACAGTTGACCGTAAATGTTCACCCACCAGCTGCGATAACTAGTGAAGGTTGTTTTGTTTTGATATAGAAATGCCCATAAGCTCAGGCGCTAAACTTGTTTGCAGCAGCGACGGAAAACTTGTGCAGCTCAAATCTGTAATGCATCTTTAATGAACTCCTGGTCATCAAACGCCCGTCTTTAGTTTAGGAGATTCTTACGCATTGCTTGTTAGTAACACAGGGGATGTGTAGGTGAAATTCGGAATATTATGGTGTTTAATTACAGCTTTTGCATGAGACCATTCAATAACTTAAATGTCTTTCATAACACAATGGTGTACTTTTTGTTTGAATGCTATAAATGGGCATGGTATTACAGGTTATGATATTTAAACTTAGTAAAATAATGAAATTTAAAGTAAGCACTCCAAACTTTATTTCACAGCACTGATTGAGCAATAGCCTCTTGCTAAGACTGAATGTAATGAGCATCAGACGAATGTTATGATCAATGCGTATGTGAACGTAAATTCGCATTGATCTTCTATCACCTATGTACTAAACTTGCGATGCACTCATGGGCATATTCATTTTGTACGCGTCTGCGGCAGCCTTTGAAGTAAATGCATAGGTAATTTCAGTCGGGCCACTTCACAAAGGTTATCTGCATCAGACTGCTTATGTATTGAAGAGAGGATGGCTCTTCAGGACAGCTGTGGGTGACTGACAGCTCTCTGTAAAAATAAAAGCTCGTAGATATGATAAAAGCATGAATGTTAGGGGAAATGAACCTGCTTCGTAGGGCACATTTCATCAGAGGCATGAGATTCGATGGCAGCTGTAGTGGCAGGGAGCATTTAGTTTCAAGCTTGCCAGGCCAAGATCTGTATGCCACAGCTCTTTGAGGCTCGTGTGCTTTTCAAAGTGCAAGGAACATGGTTGATAAATTGATGTCTTTGTGTCAACGCGGTGGCACGTGTCTCACTTTGAAGGCGATATATAAACGTGTCTCGAGTATGTTATCATTTTTAAACCCTAAAATTCTGACAAAAAGGACCTACGCTGATTACTTCATTTAAAACAATCAATTATCTCACAACGGTGGCCTCTTTGATGATATGTTAGCCTCTTGAAAAAATCGGGATACATTTTTCTTTTTTGGGGGGGGGGGGATTTGTGCGTAGCAGAAAAAACACCCTCCCTGTTTCCATCGTTCACCACATAGGAGAGATAGTGCTAACAACTGCCTGTTGTCTATCAGCTTTGTCGTGCCACCTGTTGTTTGAAAGAAACCAAGGCTGTTACGAAGTTGAATAGTGTAGGCTTTTATGCTAGATCGCATGCGTGTGCAAAGTGCCGCTTCTCTCGCTGATTGCAGGCAACGGAGTGGTCATCAACGTTCCGCAGCTCTTCGAAGAGATCAAGGCGAACGAAGAGAAGGGGCTCCAGATCTCGTCTCGGCTACTAATATCGGACCGATCTCATATAGGTGCGCCTCGATCCTACCACAGTGTTTGTTCCCTTATTTGTTTTCCTCGTTTCAACATTGCGCTAGCTTTTGTCAGGCCAGTACAACCTGCTTATCTCGTGCTGGCCTGTCCGGAATAGACGTGTTGGGCGCCAGAATAAAAATGACAGCAGTAGGTATTACTAGCGAGTTTCAATACTATGTACGCCTAACAGCCGAAGTTTACAGGCCACGGGCTCCATTGAGAATCAAAACTTCTGCTCTGTTAGTGCGTGACACCTAAGTCTAGTATGTAGCTGTACAGGTCACAAAGGTTACTACAAACTGAAACAGTTTATTGTAAGGTACGTTGCCAAACTGAAGCGGCAGTGTAACTTTCTTGGAAACTTGAAGTCTCAAACATTTGCTGTAGAATACAGTAGACTCCTAATAAATGAAACTCTCTTAAATGAAATTGCTGCCTAAATGGAACAACTGCCCGTAATGTGTTTGGTTTCGTACTTGAATATTGTACCCCTGTTTACTCTCAATAAACGAAACTCATCTTAAAGGAAACACATTTTCCTGGTCCCTTCAGGTTTCATTTAAAAGGAGTCTACTGTATTTAGTGTTCGTAATGACATTGCATATGTAGAAATGTTACGTTTTGCATAGAGTGCATGCATGTACCAAACTCCTACTCTAGCACGCTTCGCTAAACTTGGCCTCCTTACTATGTATGTAGCGCTGACGTAGACACAGTTTACGCAGTAGGTGAAAACATGCTTATAACAGGTTGTCGTCTGCTTCGTTTCTATCGTTGTTACGTCACTTGGAAAAAGTGTTACTTCTCGTGTGTGTTTGTTTGTTTTTTTGGTCTTCTTGGATGTTACATAGAGCAGTGGTGGCACATGTACAAAAGTGCATAAAAATAATAGCAATAATAATATGCCATCTGTCTTTCTGTACGTGCAGTGTTAGTGATAGCAGTTTTTAAACAACATATGGTCAATGAAGCATGCAGGGAAGGAATGCAGGTAACAGATGTGGGGAGCTCATTCTAGGTCTAGCGTAAATGTAGAACTCTGATGTGGGAAGGCTTACTTCGAGATAGAAATTGTTTAGAAATTAGAATTTATATCGACCAGACTGCTGCCCTGATAGTGTCCTCTTTTCTTTCCTTCTCTCTCTCTTTTCTTTTGTGCACTGCACGTGGTGCACAGAAAGTTATCTCCAGGTCTTTCTATTCTTTTTCAGTTTTTGATTTCCACCAGGCCGTTGATGGGCTCCAAGAAATTCGAAAAGGGTGCCAAAAGGTAAGCTAACTGCGCAAAATCTTAGCAGTTTCAAGAGCCAACACTTGATGGGGTTGCGGCTTTCAAATTGGTGGTAGGGAGAAAAAATAAATGGCCCTTAGTTACTTAATCACTCGTCAAAACAATCGTAGAAGCAACCCTAATTATTTACCTAGGTGTCTGGTAGTGACACTCGCACATCGGCGTTCATGTATCTTGACGTATTTCTTGAATTATCTAAGTTTTTGGTATGCTGCAGAAGTGGATCTCGGAGGTCGCATAAAAAGCGCGTTCTGGATGAAATCTGCTTAACCAAGCGCGTCAACGATTTCAGCTGCTCGGATGAAATTATTGGCTCTTTCAATGAGCTTATTCAATAAATCTTCGATAATTATGCTGACAGTTCATTGGCCCTTATCTCAAGTCAAGTTGCACACCGATATCATGTTCATCCAGTGTAACTCAACAGCAACCGTAACCATCAATATATATATTTTTTGAAGTCTCTTAATGAGTACTGCTCAGGAAACTGGGAGTAAGTGCTCGAGCGGAAGTATTTGCAAGAGAAACAAGTGTTGGTCAGTGCCGGTGTGACTAAACTAAAAAGCCTTACCTTGTTTAGTTCCGCAGTGCCAGCACTGTTGTCTATATCTAATATTTGCTGTCAAGGTAATTTGCCAAAATAGTTTGAAAGGTCCAACAGCCAATTTTTATGGTTTTTCTGTTTCTTTAGCTGAGTGGAAAGTTTACCAGTCAGAGTATCCGATCACCAAATGGCAATTGGGGAAACTTTGCGAAACATTTATTATCGAAATTTTCAATCTTCAGTGGTTATGAGGTCTTATACACAAAACACATACTGCCAACAGTGGAATATGGGCGCAAGGGCAGTTCGGTGTTGCGGCATCGCGGTCTGCCACTCGTGTATGAACTCCGCTCTGCACACTTGCCCCGCAGCTCGACACGTTATGCTAGTTTCCACGAAGGCAGCGCCGCTTTCCAGTGTGCAACATTTTTTACCTTGTAAGCAGTGCTGAATAGAACGGGGATGAGTAATAATATACATACTCTCATTTTAAGCGCTAAATCTGTGCACATGAAAGCATAAGACTGCGTACTGCAAAGTTGGCAAAGCAACGGAGTCCACAATCAAGTTTCAAGGTGTTTTGCTAAGTTCTCATGAACTAGTTGTTGAGGCATGATTTTTAAAGAAGCAGTGCATAGAGGGACACAAAACACGTATACATAAAAAAAGAACTCTTCTATTCGCATCTTTTTATGTGCACTTGTTTTGTGTGCATCTGAGGACTTCTTATTTGAAAATGTTCACTAGGCTTTGCCACGTACTGGTTTCTTGTGACTTTTAAGCGTGATTTAAAAATACAAATCCTGCACGAGTCGCGTAAAGGATGCTTGAATCAGTCACCATAATTCAAGGTCTTTTTTTCTATCCCCCGGAGTCTAATCGCGAGTTCTAGCCAACTGTCGGTCCGTCTAGTGATTAGACATTTCTCCAGCGTTTGCCATCATGTCCCGACTAATTTTTCTGCCTCTAGCCTCTTTCTTTTGTGATGTGGTGCGGTGTTTGTGTGGGCGATCCTATTGTTAAAATTTCTTGTCTTTGTTTCCAGTCTTGGTACGACGAAAAAAGGCATTGGTCCAACCTATGCATGCAAGGTCAGTGAACAAAACGGTCATGTTGACAATGTGTTGTTTCACTGCCCGTTCTTGTAATGCTTAATAAAGCAAATCCCTATTCTTTTTTTCTGAAGTCGAGCTTGCACCACCGACACCGCGTGCAGTCGTGCTCGTTGTCAGTAATAAGGTGATTGCAAAACTGAAAACGAAACAATTTAATAGAACCGTTGTTGCGTGAGCCAATTCATACTGCACGCATCAAGCAAGGCACGAACGCACGCAAACGCTTGCGCATGCGTAGAACCATACACACACAAAAAACAATTGGCAATGCTTAGTTGCTTGGATTGTCATCTTTTTCTTGTACGGTTTAAGGTTTTGCATCAATGTGTTCGCACCTTATTTGATGAGTGCAAAACCATTTAGGGTCGATGCCCGCTGTAATGGGTGCAGCATTGCCTGTTTGAATTGTAGTGGTTGGTATTCTATGATCAGACATCTCTACACAGTAATAACAAGGCTGGTAGAAAATGGAATACTCAAGAACGCACATGACTCGTTTTCCTTTAGTCGTTCAGGGCTTATTGGCTAAATGAGCTCGATCAGAGTGCACCACTGTAGTTTGGTCACACTCGTCATATTTCTCGATAAAAAGAGAACGCTGCAATGAAGGGCAGCTTTGAGTGATGTCTAATAGCCATTCGCCTTCTTCTGCTTCGCACCTGATGCACATTGGGGTCAATTTTCAGGCTTCGAGAACAGGGCTGAGGATGGCAGATCTGGTTGGTGACTTTGCAGTATTTGAACAGAGGTGAGTGCTGCGGATTCTTGAACCTAAAAGCTTTGTGAATCTTTTCATTCCCCTACGTACAGTTGTTGGCGATGTGTTAAAGGGTGACCAGAAAGAACATTATGCTGTTATTTCTTACCGTCTGGCAGTGTTTAGCAAGGCTCCCATTCATACAGACTTCTTACTCGGCTTGACTTTTCTGGCTGTAATCTGATACAATTCAAGAAGGCAGGAGAGGCGCCCTACGGGTGCAATCGGAAGTCGCTGAGGCAACCGGCAGCCGCCCTAGGGCTGTCTTGTACTCATTGCGGGCTTGTGTGTATCCTCCTTTGAGGTGAAAGTGCTGTTTCATTCTAAAGTTGTGCCTGACCATCACTTAATTAAACTACACTATGTGAACTGATCTGTTTTGTATGTACAGTGATCTTTTGCTAAGACATCTGATGTCCAAGTTTTGGGCACATAGTTTCCGAAATCGTGCAGAGAAGCCTGTTAGTGCTTGGGCCGTACAGGATCAAAAACTTAAACGTTATATTTAGGGCTGCAACTGGTTGCTGTCTGCCTCTGAGAAACATGCAATTGCTGCCAGATAAGATATGGAGCTTTCCTCAACCGGACCCTATATGCTCATAGGCGCGTTTGCTCTAACGACATGGTGTCAAAGGCACACACGCTCGCACGCATTGTTGTCTCCTCCGTATCCGCACTCGCGACAGACGATAAGACCGGCACGTGTCTCGTAATCACAGGCCGGAGATGTTGCAAGCGTTACTGCAACAAGACCTGCCCGCAGTCCCTTATCTCAATGATTGTCGCACAGTTTACAAGCGTTATCTCACAAACATTGCTTGTGCTAGGCGAGATGCCACTGCAATCTCTGTCAGTGTTAATACTCCACACGCATGCTACTAGCGAAGTCCTTCCGGCTCTGTTTGCTTTTGTGCCCATTGACGGGTATTGTGCATTCCCAGGACTCATTGTTGCCAAGTCGTGAAAGCTTGTTGGCAAATGAGCTTTGTTAATGGCTACTTGAACCTGTACCCACGAGTAATTACTGCAGTGGGAACAGGCAAGTCGCGTGTCGACAGATAATGGCATTGCTGCACAAGCGGGGCTCTCGACACGCTTCTTTTGTAGACAAGATGAATGGAGGTGTCCGGGACGAAGTCGCACGATTACTCTGTACTGATAAATGTTAACGAGCTGTTAGTGACGCTGCATGTCGGCACTGAATTGCTGGCACTTCTTTTACAATGGCTCTGTCTGGGGTCTTTTGCACAATTCTTTGTGCTATGTGCTCTTGACAAAAGTTGGGTTCGTCCATTAGTAGCTTGTTAGCACTTGAGGGCATTATTACACATAAAAGATTCAAAACGCTGCAGACGTCATTGTTCGATGCTTCCTGCTAGCAAAACAGTGTTTTATTCTCGTACGATTCAGCCAGAAGTGTGAATAGGCTGCTTAAACCTCCACATAAAAAAAAGTTGATAAAATTGACAATTTTCTTTGTTATAGTGCCACTTCGTTAAAGAATTCAACAACTGCCAAGAACATGACATCAGATGACTGCACGAATGGAAAGATAGTCCTTTATAGCGACTCAAACCAACAATGGTTTTTTTTTTCTTGTGAGAAGTGCAGATATATTTTTGTTTCTTCATTGAGAATCGCTAAATAATAGCCAGTGGTGCCACCTGGGGGCTGAAACTTAAAATATCTGATGTGCCCTGTCATGTGACCGTAAACTAGTGTACATGGTCAACAGTTGTCTTGTTAGGATTGAAATATTTTTTTGTTTCTTTATTCTTAAAGATATTACTTCATAAAAATGTACATATAGGCCTGCGTTAGTAGTATGCGTTAAAGTAACGCTGCCTTCACATGTAATTAATCCATGCTTGTCAGCGTGTTTTGAGCAACTTTTTTCGTGAATCCGTGCACACGGATTTCGTGTCGCTAAGTTTTTTTAGTAACGTTTCTAATTGTGATTTGTCTAAAAGTGACGTATAGTGCTAGTCGGCACGGCTGCACATATGCGCAGTGACGTTTTTAGTGGCTTGGCTTGGCTCGTGTGTCAAGAGAGTAACGACAAAAGAAGGAGCCATCCACGTCACAGGCGCAACAACCTTGGGCGCAGGTGCACTCAATGCGGTACAAGTACAGGGAAGCTGTATGAAGCAGCATCATCTCATTGTAACAGCTTGTTATTTTCTAAAGTAGTTGTAAAACTCAGTACAAACGCCGTTAAGCATGGTTACAGGAACTCCTGAGAAAGCAGGACGACAGCATGCACAAGTTGCCAGAAAGACTACTGACATGGCTGTCAATTCTCAGCATTGCTGGATGAAAGGGCTCACTCGTGTTCAGAGCTGTTCAGATCGAAAAATACTGCTTATAAAATGACTACGTGCTTTTGGGATTAACTACGGCAGCTACGAACACCATGAAGGGCAAGCTTTCGGTTGTGCCGGAAAAAACGGGATTGAAAAAAATCGATTGTGGGTCCCTTCAAATTCCAATTGGAGCTTTTCAGCAAAGTATAGTTGCCAAAGGCTTCTTATTTGCTTAGGATATGCTATAAGAATATTGAATTATTAGGGCACTAAAAATAAAATTAGTTTAAATTACTCAAAAACAAACATTTTGAGCCTGAAATTTGGCAACCGTAGCGTGTTACAGCACTGGTGAGGAAGTCCTCTCTCTTAACAGTGGCTGAATGTCTTGTGGAAACACGAAATAAATGCAGCTGTAGTTCACTGAAGTAGTTTAGGATAAACGTTTGCAAAAATCGTGTGTAACTCAACCATATGACCAAAGCCCCAGAAGATTTTAACATATCTCCTCTTTCGTCCTGTGGCACAGCTCTGAAACTTTGTTTTATTGAAATGGCAATGACATGTTTCGTTCTATAAAAGTTTCTTATATGTTGTTTACCAGAGATGTCAAGTTGTAATAAGTGAAGTATACTGTTACATCACAAACTTCGAATTATTGGTGGTTAACTGTTATGCTTATACTATATAGCTTGTGTATTCAAATTTAAGGAGACAAGAGAAAAAAAATGTCCAAATGAACCGGATGCCAAATATTCGAAATTATATTTGAAAGAAACAGTAAACAAATCTCCATTCTTTCATTATACTTTCGTTTTTGAGACGAATAAATAAATGTAGTACTTCCTTTGTATAATATCGGTGTAAAAACTGCAACTCTTGTCTTTACAACTTCGTTCGCAATGTGGCCACAGCTCAAGACACCCTTTAAGCCAGAACATGCTCTGAACCCATTCCTTATTACGTATCACCGCCACCAGCAGATGTACGTTACTATCATCTTTTTGCAAAAAAAAAAAGATGGCTGGCAACTAATTATTTATCATCACAATTCAGCAGGCGTGTTTTAAGCCAGCGTGAGGACAGTGGCTGAAACTCGTCAATGGCTTCCACCGTGTATGTGTTTTACGACGTTGCACGCACTATGCCGAAAGTCAAAACATAGCTACTGACTGCCACGTCCACTGTGGACAAAACCACAGTACATTATAATAGTGTTCACGCAGTTCGGAAGGCTCGCGCACAGCCTGCGTCGAATCGATGCAGACCTGCCGAGCACTGCATCTGCTTGCTAATAAAGCCGTCTCACTAATGCCCAATTACTTGTAACGTCTATGCAGTGCTGAATGCGCACGGTGGAAATAGAATTACTGCTGCTTGCTGTTTTGAGCCCAGTCGCTGTAGAAGCGAATAGCACTCGCACACTTTGTGTGGGCCAAGTAAAATCGAAAACGAAACAGGTCGGCCATAGCCGCTGTAGAGCTGGTCGCTAACAATGCGATTGTAGTAAAATTTTGCATGGTGACAAAGCGTTTTTGAAGGCCCGCAGTCATTTCAGTTGTTCGCCAACACTGTTTTCGCTTCTTTGCCATCGCACATTTGGAGTGTACCATGCTTGGTGCGTCTCAAGGATTGTCCTTGATTGGGTTGCAGGCAAATACAAAGGAAATGCACTCGGACCTCAATTTAATTAATCCACATATAATGAATATATCTTATAACGAAGTAAATGAAAAACAGTCTTGCAGATGTCGTGTTAAAAATGTACCTTGATAATGAATTTTCGGTTCTAACAAACTGTTTTGATTGTAATAAGAGTCTAATGCCATTAAACAATGAATGCGCTTGCCGAGACCAGAGAAACATGTCTGAATCATCAGACTTTCCAAGTTAACGGTGTCTAATCATCAAGATTTCACTGTACAAGGAGTTGCTTTTCTTGTGAAAGCTTGTAAGTTTCGAAACCGTGACCTTGTGCCGGCACTGTTGTCTGCCCTAGGTTTCGGAGTCTAGTGTCTACGTACCAGCGGCTATTTCCTGCCCTCAAGGTTGACCTCGACGTAGAGCTTGCCAAATACAAGGTGAGGATGCAAACTTCTTATATTCATGAAAGTATGTGCTCTCTAATAGTCACCCCCATTTATGTAGTAAATGTCGCTTGCCACTCATGCGTGGGTACGATACTGTCGAAGTGCTTTGCACAGCACAGTAGCATGAAGAAGTTTTTATGCTTAAAGGGACCCTCAAACCGTTTTGACAATTTTTACAAACACAGTGGGCCGGTAGACTAAGTGCCAAGGGTAATTTAGAGACCACTTTGAGCTCTCTGCGTAAACTGCGTAATTTATTGCAATGCATTAAAGCTGCAAATCGCTCCAGATCGCTGTGACTCGGCCAAACGTGTTTTCACTCGCCCATACACCAAGCGACACGCTCTGCCCCACTGACGTCGTCTCCAGCTGATCTGATTGGCTGTGGAACCCGCAGCACAGACTGCCGGTATCTGATCGGCGGCGGGATTTACGCGTATGCAGTCTCGCGCCACATCGTGACGCAGGCGCTGTGAAGGTGGAGTTTAGCCCTGAGCACTTGATGGAAGAGTTGAGGGCAGCTTAGGGTGAAATGGGGAGTGGAGGAGGAGGGTACTTTTTTTAATATCGTAGCTCCGTTAATGATGTGTGTTTTGATTTAACTCTGATGCCAATGATTTGCTCCAGCACTGGTCTAATCAAAAACGGAAAGTGAAAAAACCGTTTCAACGACCCTTTCACGGCCTACGACGGACGATATAACATCAGTGAAAGTAAATTTAGGACCTCGACTTTTGTTAGTTACAATCATGCAAAAGCAAAAGTAATACGGTTATTTTTAGTTTCGCTGGCAGTATATAAATTATTAGCCGCAGGCAAGTCAGGGTGAAAAATAAAGCAACAAGTTGCTGCCCAGCTTGGATACACCTGCAATCTCTGCATTACGTATTTACTGATCTACCATTAGTGATGCATTTGCATATAGAGAAGTTTAATTTACAGCTCACAGTAGTGGTCAAGGAGAGTATGGTGTACATATGTGCCGATCGCAAGCGAATTCTGTGAAATTCCCCAAGCTAGCAGCAGGGTGCTGAAAGGGAAATCGACAACTATCCAAAAGTAGCATGAAGCCATTGGGAGATCTGTATGGATTTCTGGGAAAGGAAGCTTCTCAGTTGGTGAAAAATTCGCAGTGGTCATGGTATCAAATGCATGGCTTCCGCCTTTCGAGTACAGTCGCTCCGCCACACAAGTCGGTTAGGAAGCTAGCATATGGTTGCGTAGGAATAAACGTTTCAAAGCACAAGGACACAGCATATCGCGAGTTTGTTCTGTCATCTTTTGCAAGGTGTTAGAAGGCTTAGAAAAGATAAATGGTCGAACTACCCAGTCGTTGGGGTAAGTGGCCAGGAAATCTGGACGGATTTCTTGGAAGAGTAGAGTGGCTGCCTCGGAAAGGCACTGGTGACTATTTGGATCAGCAGACCTGGACAAATAGTCCAGCAACTAAGGCTTTTTCTGAAAAATAGATGGGTTTCTTCGTAGCCTCGTTCTACGATTGGGGGGGGGGGGGGGGGGGTCTTTTTTTTTCTTTCCCAATGTATGTGCCTGTGTTGTGAGTAAAAAATATTTAAGACGCAGCACTCTCGTGATTTGTGTGGCATCTGCGATAATTTGTCTTATATATGCTTTTTTTTTCTATATATTCCTTGTTACGTCTCTTTACGTTGCCGCACTTTTTTGCGGTGTATGCTGCATGCCTCGCTTGCCGTCGCTTTGACGCAGGATCTGGCGATGAAGCTGCGGCCGTTCGTTATTGACACGGTGTCGTACCTGCACGACGCGCTGGCCGAAGGCAAGAATATCCTCATCGAAGGTGCCAACGCCTGCCTTCTAGACATTGACTTCGGTGAGAGGCAGCGGCTTAAGTCTTCGGTGCAGCATTTTAGGTGTGTCGGCGGGGAACAGGGCTTCGTTATCCTGGAAAGGATAACGAAGCATCTGGAAAGGTTTCATTATTTGGACCAAAAGTCGGTGTGCCTTTCCTTGCCCTTCTTTTCTGTGTGGAGCTTGTATTAGCGTACCTGTAAAAACCCTCCTAAGCGACACCTGGTGCGCATCAGAAGAATAGATAAAAACAAAATAGATTTCCTTTCCTGGGTTGTAGTTTCAACCCCCCACCCCTGTCTGAATGTTGGTGCCTTGAACCACATCCCCATGCCTGCCCAATGTGAACTGAACTGAAGCATACAGATTCGTTCTACTGGTGATGCAAAAAACAATTGGGAAGCAGTACACTGGACACTTAATAGATATAAATTTTTGTGTGGTCGGACTAAAAACAGATTTGATGGACAACACACAAGGTTGGTTTCCAGAACTGTGCATTTCGGGAAGCAGTGCACGCACACCTAGGCCCAGTTTCACTTGGCCTCATTTCTCCAGTTGCTGTGCTTTTAAATTTTTAAATTTTTTCAGAGGTCTTTTTAAGGGTTTCTTCAGTTTGCATGTCTTTTTCTCACACGATTTATACATATATGTATACATCATTTATTTACTAGCCATAAGTAGTGCACATGTGTCTGTCTTTGCTGTAAGTACAGTCGACGTCCGATTTCCCAGACCCTCAAATGACGACGAAAACGTCCGGAAAATTGGGCAGTCCAGAAAACTGAATGTTTTTAAGAGGTATTTTTCGCTGACGGAAAGGGCCGCAGCAGGAGTGCAGGGTTCTTTCTCATTGCAATTCAGCAAATGCATCGTGTAGGTGTCTCTGAAAAGAAAAGAGCCGAATGAAAAAAAAAAAGGATTCGGTGTGGCCTGCGCTGCCGCATTTGTGAACACTTAAGCGAAAAAAAGAAATTGCTTGTTTCCGTTTGCATGGCGTTCCACTCGCCCACGATGACGTCTGCCTCAATTTAAGTTAACGTCATGCTGTCGCTGTACTCCGATGACAGTGTCAGTGCTGCCGTCATCTCTGAGCTTGTTGGCTGTGTAGGCGTTGTTTCTTCAATATTCGTGCCGAAGCTGTCTGAATCCTTTGTAACTTGACGAACGGTTTCGTCATCGGTCAATTCTTCACACAGCTCGGGGTCTTTGCCAGCGTCGGCGAAACCCTCAAGGGCTATCCCAGCTGGAATTGAAACACCGGCAACGGGCAGATCGTTGAAGGCAACGTTCGTGGGTGGAAGTTCATCGCACACGCTGTCCACTCTGGGCGAGGCGGTCGTATCGGCGTCCAGTGTGAAGCTCGCATGGCAAAAACAGTTTAGGGGAGTCTGTTGCATAGCCTCCTTCCACGAGTCTGCAAGCATGCCGAAGGCAGACCATAGGTAACGGCGTAGCTTTTCCCTCTGTAGGAGCACAGACTGCACAGCACCATGCGGCCTAAGCTATGGCTGGCAACTTTTTGGGATAGCAGCTTTTTCGGTTTCGAGCGTACGGTAGCCGCAAAGTGGTGGGGTCGAAAGTCCAAAAATAAACCAATATGGCAGTGTCGATGATGACTTCGAGCCTACGGTTAACGGTAAAAGGCCTGGAAAATCGGATGGCGAAAGCTATGAACGTAGGGAATTTTCTACTTATTTTAATACAGTGACTCTATGAGGAACTTGACTGTGCCACAGATGAATGTGGGAAATCGGGCTTGTCCGGAATTTTGGGCGTCCGAGAAATCGGACATCAACTGTAGTACAGTCAGAAACAAAGTTGCTTACATGTTTTACAGTGCTTTAAATATAACTAATATTCTGCACATGAATGTTATGACGCACTGAAAAGTGCAGTCTTTGAGAACTGACAGAGCTTCACCATTATTAAGACTTACAGTATGATAGTCTCACGTGCTTATGGTGCCACGATTTCCACTTTCAAAAGAATCCATTGGTGTTCGGTGTGTTGTGTTTTCATCAAGCCTTCATTGCACACAACTCGTTGCGACTGGTATAGGGGATACACTTTTCCCAGCTTTCAAAGAGTGACTGCAGTGCCGCTGCATACCTGTATCATTGTATTTTTGCAGCTTGTATGTAAAAAGATCCAGTATTTCCTGTTTGAGTCTGACAGTCAGATACGCAGGTGAGTCTGTGTGTGAGTGTGTTAGGCTCTCTCTTTGGTGAAGTATTGACATTTCAAAGCACATTTGTATGTTTTGTCCAGATGCCTTCCGATTTTACCGTATTTACTCGCATAATAGGTGCACTTTTTTGGATAATCGTTTCTGATCACGGCCAAGTTCAGGGTGCGCCTATTATGTGCGGAATTAAAAAGATCGAATTTTCCGCGACCAAACTAGGAGTGCGCCTATTATGCGAGTGCGCCGGTTATGCGAGTAAATACGGTATTTACGCCAATTTCGGCTTTTTCACATCTTTGTACGTACTAGCATAATGCCTAGCCAGCTGTATAAACCAAGTAAAAAAAAAACATTTTATGTGCCATTGATAAATCCAATACATGCATTCTTTTTGAGCCATACTAGGGTGTCAGCTCTTAGCTTTCTGCCACGTAGTTAAACAGCACCCACCATACTGCCACCAACTAGTCTGTTGGGGCTTATACAAAACATGATGGATTTAGGAGTACTAACAGGTGGCCTCCAACACCTTCGTCACTTCAGTTTGCAGCAAGTCCCATAGGCTATGCTTAACTGCTGATTTATTTTCAAAGACTTTTCATGTGCAACGGTGCTGACGATGGAACTAATGTTTGGCTTGATGACATTGTCTTTCTTATCCTTCTTATTATTTATACTTGTTTGTGCCTTCCGTTTGCTATTTTGAACATTGGTCTGCAGGGAAGGTGCAGTCATGGTAGAGTTTCATTAAAAGCAATGAGATAGGTTGAAAGAGTGGTAGCCATGACCTAAACTTGACCTTAATTTTTTTTTCATGCATTTCATGGCAGCGCAACCCTTCTGCACGCATCCTCAATTTTCATGTTCAAAAGTCTCCAGGAGTCGTACCAATCATTAGTGTCTCTCTCCATAGGGGTTGAAAAAAATGTTCATCATTCCATTCGCGTAGTTTACCCGGTGTTTGTCTTGCTGTCAACATCTCTTACATTGCAAGTTTTACGCTATGTCATGCGTGGTAGGATTGTTAAACGAACGTTCATGCTCTTCGTAACAGCTTCGTTTCGTATTAGTCATAGGCTGCTATCCGTTTTGCTTGTCATTACTTCTAGATGTCGCCATGCTCTCATCTTACCCGTGGTTGTCTCTTTTTGCTTCGCCTTCTTTGCAGGAACGTATCCGTTTGTGACGTCTTCAAACTGCACCGTGGGTGGCGTCTGCACGGGTCTCGGCATTCCGCCGCGAGCCATCGGCAACGTGTACGGCGTGGTCAAGGCGTACACGACGCGCGTTGGTGACGGCCCCTTCCCCACCGAGCAGAAGAATGTGAGTTGAGGGCTTGTTTGCTGTGGAGTAACTAAGGTAAAAAGTGGTTGTGTCACTTGGCTACAAACTACTATCAGGCTGTCGATGGTAAGAGCACACTCCTGCTGATGCGAACGACGAGTTTGATCCCAGCCGCTGTGCTTGCATTTCGTTGGAAGTTGAATGCCAGAGGCCTGTGTAAATATAGGTGCACGTTGAGGAACCATAAGTGGTCGAATATATCGAGATCCCTTCACTGTAATGCATCTTGTAGTCACGCCATAGATTTGGCTTATTTAACCCACGAAGTCATCGTTCACGACCGTCTCCTACAGATAGCCTGCACACCGGTTATTTTGATAGCCCCACAGCACATTTGCAGGCCTTGTTGGCAGCTTGGTGTTCGTGCCTGTCGCCTTCAGGACCAATTGTCGTTGGGCAGCTGAGGCATAGCCTAGGAGGTCTGTAATTTGGCTTAAACAAGAATCCCTAAGTGTCCCTCTCTCTTTTTTTTTTTTACGTTGTGAGAGAGAACCAGCTTACCCAGCATTCCATTGTGCCATTTAAAGCTCAATATCTGTTGCTTTTTCTTTGTCAACAATGGTCACAATTCGCAGGGTCTAATTGCGTGCACTAATTTGTACCCCGAGCTTCGAAGGGGACTTGGACGGTTGCCTCCTCTTGTCCAAGAAGAAAGCGGTGCAACGACATCAAATTGAATTTTGGGGGCACCAGGCAACTGGTGGCAAGTGGTAATCCCCTTTCTTTGCGTTCTGCAGGACGTCGGGGAGCGACTACAAACCATCGGCGGCGAAATCGGTGTCACGACCAAGAGGAAACGGCGGTGCGGCTGGCTCGACGTGGTGCTGTTACGTTACTCCAGCATGATCAATGGATACAGCGCGTACGTAAGCCTTTTTTAACGTCCTCTACGCGTCTGTTCATCTATCTATCCGTCTGGCCAATTTAAAGGAATTGGGTCTGACTAGCTCATTACTGAGCAGAATACATAGCGCCGAAATGAACACAGGGCAAGAAGAAAACTGGACAAGCGTTGTTCATTTCCATTTGCCTGAAAGGGTAAAAGAGGAAGTGCAATAGTTTATTGGTCGAGGTGGTGGTTCGGTTTGCTACCTTGTGGAGGGTAAAAGCAATGTGCAGGTTTTCATGTGCCGGACTTCATAAGACACTGATTCTGCTAATTATTTCCAATGGGTAATTGTGTATATCAATGTGAATTCACACTCATGAGATGCATTGATTAAGCATGTTATTAATCAAGTGAGTGAGTAAAAACTTTATTGACATTGTCCGGCGGTATTTAGCGGGGTGGGGCTACAAGCACCCCAGCCTAGGCGACAGCCTCGAGTCCTTGGACACGGGCGGCTTCCTGGGCGTGCCGGACTGCCCACAGTTGATCGGCGAGGTCACGGCTGAGCAGAGCCGCCCCCCATTGCGCCTCGCGGTTCGAGACTGCCATGTCTACCCGGTTCATAGGGAACTGCGTTATTAATCAACTCTGCATTAATATAAATTTGTGCTAAGCATATCTTCAAGCTTTATTAAACAGTATAATTAACAAGAATATGAATACGTAAACAAAGTTTTTGTTCAACGAATCTCGTATAACATCGAATGTCATATTTGTATTAGATAGAAATTTGCATCAGATAGAATGTTACATTAGCTTGTGAATAAGGCCTACTTAACAATCATTAATATTCTTGGCATCAAATACAAATTCAAGATCGTGCAGTGTAACTGCATTATCTGAAGGTTGCTTTCTATTTATCTCTACTTGACTTATCCAGAAGTTGGTCTACAATTATGTTGTGTTAGCCGACATTCAGCTTTTCTTCAAAAAATTCGGGAAGATTGTTTTTCGGTGGGCCAAAAGACTGTCCCACGGCACATGCTTCCCGCGACCACTGAAGCGTGTATTCGGCTGGCAGCGAAATTTCGTAAAGGTTGAATTTTCCTGGCTTCTATAGTCCTCCCCGTCGGCTTCAGGTGTCCATCCAGCTTCCACAAAATTATCTCGCTACGTTTGTTTGATAGTGTGAGTATTGTATAGATGCAAAACTCGATGTAATGAACCTGGGTATAAGCAGTTATAGTGAAGTAAGTGAAGAATAGTCTTGTCATAGATACAGCATTATTAATGAACGTTTGTAACGAATTTTAGGATATAATGATGTTATTTTTGTAGGAGATGTGACTGTTATATCAAGGTTTGAGTATACCGTTGAAACCTGCTATAGGAGACATGTATCAGGGAGAAATTCTTGTTTTTTATAGGAGGTGTCTCTTAGAAACAGGATACCGCATATGTGTTTTTTTGTGAGCGCCTATTTTTATGCAGGCACACTGGTGTCACCTATACTCATTTGTCTCTTGCATCCGTGTCTTGCATCTGTGCATCCTCTATTATAAAGGGGCTCAGCTGCATTCATAACTTGCGAGAGCGGCTGCATAGCGTATAGGATAAGGCACTCGCCTTTGGAGGGCCCGGGTTCAAACGAAGGTGCCCTAGTGAAAGCATTCTATTCTTAAGGCAAGAGCAACATATCTCATTAAACCCAAAAAAAAGTGATCAGTGTCTCGCATCCTCATGATGCGAAAAATTATCGCGCGAGGACATCGCCGTGTGACGTCACGTGAAAGGTCATAACGTTATGTTATAGCTTGGTCAATGATGTAACATTGTGGCTTGAACCACAGAGGATTTGCAAAGCCGGGTGAGGTGCCTCCAATCTCGGAAGCTACAGGAAATCACGCCAGGTGTAGAAAACTTTCGGAGGTTGTTGACACCGGCACAATTCGTCTACTGAAAAGGAAAAATGAGATGGCTGGCTTTGGCCTTCCAGTCATCTTGAGTGGGTGTCAAAGAGACCCTGTAAATTTGCATTTACGCTCAAACTTTGAATAACGAACCTGGATGTAATGTAAAAATTAGTTTTAATGCATTCAATGAAAAAATGTTTTGTAATAGATGCAGTGTTAAGAATATAGCTTTATAACGAATTTTTGGACATAAACTTATTTTTGTGTTATGTAGAACTTCGTCATCCAATGAAACCTCGTTTAAACAGTCACATCTGCCACAAAAATAACTGTTATAATCGAAAATTTCTTATAAACATTTACCAGTAGCGCTGTATCTATGATAAGACTATTCGCTTACTTCGTTATAACCGATAATTCGTTATATCCATGTTCATTATATCGAGGTATGGGTTGGTGACAATGGCTATCGCCTTACGTGAAAGCCGGACTGATGGAAAATTTTTACGTTGTGTCAGCACAGATGAGCTTTAAGCATTCAGGATTAGCCTAAAGAGTTCGGTACACTATAGTTTGCCGAGGTTTGCAGGCGTTGTTTGCGAGCGCGGGAGAGATTTCCATAATGTCTGCATGCCTCTCTCCCGCTGACAGGTTGGCCCTGACCAAGCTTGACATCCTGGACACCTTCGATGAGATCAAGATTGGCACGGCTTATCGCGTGGATGGCAAGGTGTACAAGTACCCGCCCGGTGAGTGGGTCACAGGTCCTTCCGCGCTCGACGAGTTCCGCCGTTTGAGCCAAAGCACAGCAAATTTGAGCTTCCAGAACCACCGCTAGAGCGTGTGTGAGCGCTTTGGAAATGCCTGGTTGAGAATGTTACAGTTGCAAGAGCTAGAGCTGTAGTTGTGGAGCTGAAGGATTGCTGAAAAGTTTGTGTCGAGAGGGACTCCTGGGACGAGATACAACATAACGCGACACACTTAAGCGCTATCTTCCAACAAAGAAATTTTTTTTAAGGAATGCGTTGAATATGCAAATAACTGCGTGTCTGCGTAGCTTTTCACATCCACAAAACGACAACACCCTAAAGTGATGGGATTCAGCTCTCTAGTCTCAAATGCACAACAGTTACGAAGAACAAAATAAATAAAAGTGAAGTCACAGGGCACCAACACCTATAAAACACAATTCTTTTTTTTTATTATTTGAAAAAGCAATGGAAGCCACACGGATACAATGGCTATCATCCTTAGCCATCTCTGCTGATTCTACTATTTCTCGCATTTTGTAGTCTGCATGAGCAGACTTCGGCAATGCTTCGCCACGTGGCCTCGCAGACCTCCGCGGACATAGTACACATGCTCCCCGAGATGGTCCTTTAAGCAGGGCCCCTGGTCTGTTCCACGAATCTGCTGCCACATGCGTTGCATAGCAGTTCAGCGGAGTGCCAACTAGCCGAAGCAAGCATGTTTCTAAATCTAGATGGAGTTTTAATCCTCAGAACTGCCAGCTACAGAGAGCTTCATCTAAATGTACAAAATTCGCACATTTCAAGGGTAATATTGTATTGCTACAAAAATATCGCAATGCAGTGTAACCTCAATTAAATGTCCTCTGGTTTTGCAATGGCTCACATAACAAATTGGTGTGGTTTCAGTGAAACCGCTCTGGTAAAAATGGTATTCAAAACCTCGATTATACTTTGGAATTCACCGACCCTGTATCATGCAACAACTGTACAACACCATGTGGTAGGGAAAAATCGCCTTTTTTACTCCACCTAATATTTGCGACTGAGTAAAAAAAAACTTTGGGGCCCCTAGGTGGACTATTAAAGAGCAAGACAGGTACAGTACGCCTTTATAGAGTAGAACGTTTGTTCTGGCCGTTCAAGTTTTGCCGTCTCGCTTCTAGATACGCTTCTATCGTGGGACTATCCCAGGGCTGCTACCTAGGCAAGCTCATTCTACATGGTGTAGCTTCAGATAGTTGATGCGTTGACCTTAGAGACCTGGATATCTCAACGTTTTCGGCCTGTGAAAACTCCTTACAAACATGCAGCTGAAGATCTTCGATGGTTTGCAGCGCTCTCAGTGATGAGTCGCAGGCATGCTAAGGAAGCGACACAGCTTTTTTCAATGTGCGAAATAGCTCCCTTTTATGCGAGAATTCATAATAGTGGCACATCCCTAATTTCACGTCGTAAGGGAACGAACAACGCGTCGCAGCTCAGTCGTGCTCGAAATCGTCCTACTCTATTTTGCAGCAAAGTGCGCTCCATCGCCATTGTGTCACGGCAATGGCACTGCGTCCTACTTCACTGACAGGAGGCTGTTGCCAGTGCGGTTTCAGGTTCATTTTTATACACAGCCAGTTTTCGTACTTGTTTCACAGAGAAGTTGCACTTGAGATTACATTGATTTTTTGAGTTGAATATAAATATTCACTCTCTCTACCTCCACTGAAATGCTTAACTGTCATTTTTAAATGGGATGTGATCAGCCTTTGCATGGAGAAGGGCAGGGTCATTTCGTGGGCTTAGTTGGGCAGTCTATGGCCATTTTTGGGCGGCAAAAGTGAGCATCACCGCCCGTATTCTTTAATTTTCGCTTGCACAATGGTCTTGCACAATACTTTTGAAGTCCTGTATTTAAGGTACCTCTACATTAATTTATGTGTTCCTGAGTAATTAATCATAATTAAATTGTAATTAAGTATCTGTTGATCATAATCTCATTCTTTCATGGTGGTCTGCTGTATCAAGCTTTGCAACAGTTTTTCTTTATTCCAGCTAGTGCCGATGAGATGTCCAGGGTGGAAGTCGACTACATGGTCATGCCTGGCTGGCGGACATCAACGTGTGAGTGCCGCAAGTACTCGGACTTGCCCGCAAACGCCCGCCGCTACGTTGAGACCGTCCAGGAGCTCCTAGGCGTTCCCTGTGAGTAGCCCTTCCAAGTCAAATGCATCTTCTGTTTGACAAAAGGCTTACGGTACATTCCGTTCGCCTTTGCTGCGCCCTAAGTCTGACCTTCTTTTAATCGAAGCCGGATAAAGTATGAACTATGCCAACGTACAGCCGTGAGCTGGCACTTGCAAAAACAATATGTCTGAAAACTTCCAGCACTCGCACGTTGATGTCCGCCACTGCAAGTGGCTGGCGGACATCAACGTGCGAGTGCCGGAAGTTATCAGACTTGCCCGCAAGCGCCCGCCGCTACATTAAAATCATCCAGGAGCTGCTGGGCATATCCTTTAAGTTGGCATTCAAATCAAATTCGTATCCTAGTGGACGAAAAGCTTACGGTGCGTTCTGGTGGCCCCCACTGTGCTCCAAATCGTACTCTTGATCATAGCCAGACAAAGCATGAACTAGGCAGCCCTGCAGTCGCCCACCAGCACTCGCCACTACGTTGAGACCGTCCAGGAGCTGCTAGGCGTCCCCAAGCAAGTTGACATTCTAAATCAATTGCATTTCCAGGTGGAGAAAGAGCTTATGGCCTAGAGTTTTCTAATATACGCTAGATGGAACTCTGGTGCTGGTGTCTATGGGAGCTGCAACGCACGGTGCTTCAGCGAGCATGGGAAGGATGTGTAGTACACACATCTGTCTAATATTTATACTTTTGGCCTGCTTTTGGCTCCGTGTGTGTTCGTGTGGCTTGGAGCTGCTTTTTCACGAAAAATAAGTTAGCAAATATCCAGCGTTTGCGATTTACCTTATTTTTTTAGGTTTACCATTTTGAATCGTGTCACAAAGTTCAAAAGGATTGGTTCTTTCCTGCAAAACAATACTGTAACCAGCAATAAACGAAGCCGCAAGTATGATCCGCCGCCCGCAGGTAAGAATACTAGGCAAATGTGTGCACTACCCATCATTCCCATGGTCGCTGAACGATAGCAGTGCCAGAGTCCCCTCTAGTTAATTTTAGGAAACTCTATGGCTTATGGCACATTCGGCTAGCCCCTACTGTGCTCTGAATCTGACATGCTTTTGATCGAAGTGAGACAAAGCCTGAACTAAGCAAGCATTGAGCCTCCAACTAGCGTTCGCCACTACAATAAGACCTTCCGGGAGATGCTAGGCAACCTCTATAAGTTGGAATTCTAAATCAAATTCGTTTCCTAGTAGACGGAAGAGCTTATGGTACATTCTGAAGGCCCTTACCGCGCTTTGAATCTTACTCCTGATGAGAGCCAGACAAAGTATGAACTAAGCGAACGTGCGGCCACTCACTCACCAGCATTCGCCACTACATTAGGACCGTCCAGGAGTTGCTAGGCGTCCAAAGTTGGCATTATAATTTATAGTGTAATCTCTTGGCAGATTCGGAATAATCGGTGAGCTCTGCACCGGAGCACTAGACTGGTGGAGAGCGACCGACGGGAATCTACCAATAGAACACACATGCTCTCCCTGGAGCCAATGGCAGGATCAGAATGAAAATCGATTCACGTGTTTCCCTTCTTGCATGAGTGGGCACGCTAGGCACAACAACGATATGCTAGTAAAACGCAAGGGCTGTGTACATATAGCCTGACACGAGGCACTACCAACTCGACTAGTGTCTATTGGTGCGCTCACAGTTATGCGTTCCAGGCCACTGGAACGCACAAAGCACTTGTGGATTCCGGTCAAATCTGGCTCGTAGAGCATAAAAAGTGGCTGCATGTAGTCTTGTCTTGGCTATTTGATCATGACCAGGCTACGTGCCGCGACTTTTTATGCTCTGAATCTCACGTGCTTTCAATCGAAGCCAGACAAAGCATAAACTAAGGAAATGTGCAGCCACTCACAGGTGCTCCCCACTACATTGAGACTAAGAGCTGCTAGGTCTTTCCTGGTGGACGAAGGGCTTACGATACATTCTGGTTGCCCCTACTGCGCTCTGAATGTTACTCTTCATCAGAGCCAAAGTGTAAACTAGCGAAAAGTGCAGCCACCCACCTGCACTCCCCACTACATTGAGACTGTCCAGGAGCTACTAGGCGTCCCTTGTAGTTGGCATTCTAAATTGATTGCATTTCCGGGTGAACAAAGAGATCATGGTGCATTCGGTTAGCCCCTACTGCGCTCTGAAACTGACTTGCTTTTGATTGAAGCCAGACAGAGTATGAACTAAGCGAACACTCAGCCACTAACTGGCATACGCCACTACAATAAGACCACCCAGGAGCTGCTAGACAACGTGTGTAAGTTGGCATTCTAAACCAAATGCATTTCCTGGTGGACAAAAAGCTTACCATACGTTCGGCAGGCCCCTACTGCACTCTGAATCTCGCATACTTTCAATCAAAGCCAGACAAAGTATGAACTAAGCAAATGTGCAGTCAATCACAGATGCTCGCTTTACACTCAGACTTTCCAGGAGCTGTTGGGCGTTTTCTATAAGTGTCGGCTTTCAAATCAAGAGCATTTTCTTGTGGACAAAGAGCTTAAGGCACATTAGGTTTGCCCTACTTCACTCTGAATTAATTATGCTTTTCATTGGGGCCAGACATAGCAATCAGAGTACAGTACAAGCTTGTTAATTTGCATTTCATGGGACCGGAAAAACTATGAAAACACTGAGTGCTGAATTATCGAAAAGGTCAAGCAAACAGTAAGTAAATGTCTATTACACTAATGCACTATTATCTTAAGGAATACATAAATCCAGCCATCATTTTGTGTAGGAGTAATGCGAAAGCCGCAATTTTGGTCATTTGTGAAGCCTAAGACTTCCATGTTTCAATCAGACATGCTCTCAGCCTGGTTCATACCTTATTACTTACCAACAACCTGATTGTGGTTGGCAACCATGAATTTCTGAAAGCCAGCAGCCGTTTGAGTCGTCGCGAACGCCGTTTTCTTTCCTTTGCGTCGGACATTTGTGGCAGTTCGCGCTCGGTGCTCTCCAAGGACTGTCCGACTTAACTGGGTTGTGGCCAATATGAGGGAATTAACAAGGGATTGATGCCATTATACATTGCTTGTGTTGGCCGGAACCGGAGAACACATAAGAATTATCCGATTTTCAGAAATGACTAGCTCTCAGATTATCAATCTGAAATCAGTGAATCACAATTCAGTGATTTTTTAATGCACCATATCTACTAAGGGTTATTTCAATCTCGTGATTGACGAGATTGAAGTAACTAGAAGAATAGGAATGGGATTCAGCACATTCGGCATGTATTCTTAAATCATGACTGGTAGCTTCCCGCCATCCAGTAAGAGAAGGGTATATATATCGGCTGCATCTTGCCGGTACTAACCTTTGGAGCAGAAACCTGGAGGCTCACAAAGAGGGTTCAGCTTAAATTGAGGACGACGCAGTGAGCGATGAAAAGGAAAATAATAGGTGTAACCTACAAGGAGATAGCAGAGTGGGGCAGGGAACAAGCCGGTGTTAAGGATATCATAGTTGAAATCAAGAAGAAATTGACATGAGCCAGGCACATAGGTGGGATAGCCGCTGGTCGCGAAGGGTAATTGACTGGATTTCCATAGAAGGCAAATGGGTGAGTGGGATACAAAAAGTTGGGTGGACCGATGAGATTAAAAAGTTAGCGGGTATAAAGTGGCAGCAGCAACCACAGGACCGAGTTGACTGGCGGAACAAGGGAGAGGCCTTTGTCTTGCAGTGGGCGTTGTCAGGCTGACGATGGTGTACTAGGGCTGCGCGAATGTTCGAAATGGTGCATATATTTTTTAATTGTGTTTTTGATTCGATTCGCACTGGGATTTTACTATTCGAACTTCCCAAAAGCCAAAAAATACAGCCAATGTCTAATTAGAAGTGACCCCTTCAAATTTTAAATATGCTTCACCTCATGTCGCTCTCGTATTGCTGCAAAGCTGTTTTTAAGGCTCTGCTATGACAACTTTTCAAAGAGTCGTCCAATTAATAGTTACCCCCTTGAAATTTTTAATATGCTTCACCTCAGCACACCCTCGTATTGCGGCAAAGCTGCCTTCCAGGCTCCGCTACTGTCAAAAAAGTTTTCACACACCCACTGACATGTTGTTCTTCTGGCTTTTTCATTATCACTTTAGTACTAATCCGAAAAACAGCTCATCGATGGACCCAATTTATTGGCTGTGGCTTATGAATCGACACTTATAGTGAAACGCAGCAAACGAGAGCTGTTTCACTTAAACTGCGGCTATGTGGGCTTAGTTGCTGAAGGGCGGTGGTGGCGTACTATTTCAAACGTTCGTTTTCATTTTTGAATGCACCTCGTGTGTCCTTAAAAATACCAACTTTCATTGTTTGTAGGGTCTAACTTTTGTATTCTAACACATAAAAAGAAAAAAAGACTAAGGTCATAACATATAACATTTGCTCTTTCTATTTCATTGCAGTCAAATGGATCGGCATTGGGAAATCTCGCGCAGCCATCATCACGATTCCCTGATGAGCAGCACCAGAAAGCGCCACAGCACAAGCGCATGTTCGCGACAAACAACTTTGTAAACCTTAAACAGCCGAGTTGTTTTATCTCTTTCCTCATTTTACCCCGCGCTTGTTATTTTTAATTCATTGTTACTTTAAGAAAAAGAACACGTCCAGTTGTCTTTATTCACAGGCCATTGTCGATAGGAGTTTCCGTTTGTTCAGTTCAGGCCCCACTCGACGGTGGATTGCATTCAACGAACGATAACCGTTTCATTATAGCCTCTTGTAGTCTAGCGCACGGCAGGGATGTGGGAGGTAGACCTAGCGTGGCATGCCCTCTGAAAGCAATTATTTGCCCTCTGAAGCAATTTAGATGGCCATTTTGTCCCACAACAATAGCCATCATTTGTTTCTTGAAAGCACAGCCCCTGCCATTTTTCTGTCGAAAACGTCTTGGATAACATTTACGTACTTGTCGTTTGCTAGCTGTAATAATGAGGCACGAAGCGGTTAATGCGTGGAAAGCCATGCAATATGGGTGACTGTTATTGTTGAGCACTATGATAGTAATACAGGTAATTAAGTCTTGGTTTCACGAAGCTGAGGGAGCCCACAAGTTGGGAAATGAAGATCAGTAGATTTTGAAAGGCCCGTGCACGTTACGTAGTTCTTCGAAGCCAGTGAAGAGGTCAATTTTTGCCCTGTATGAAGTTAGAGACAATGGAACCACTGCTCCTTATAGGAGGAGCAAAGCTTCATTGTTAAGCAGCACATAAGTTAACTACAAAGCACGTCTCCTTGGCGAATCATTTGCATCCATCTCATGAATTGAAACTTGGCATGCACAAGTGTCCTCAAAACCATATTTTGGACAAGCAGTCTACCGTGTCCCTAAAGGGTTTCACTAATTGGGTTTAATAATTGGGCTTAATGTGCAGTAACTGATTTCACTTGGTTAAATCAATGTTGAAAATTCATCGACTTTGTTAAATTAAGGTTGAATGGTATACGGTTGCAGTGAATGGTGGCTGCTTCTGTATGCCTTCAAGAATGGACATCAGCCTTGTGTTAACAACCAGGCATTTATCCCTGCAAGACTACACGAAGCATTTCTTTTTAGTTGGTGCTTGTTTAAAACTGAGCTCAAGCGGAAAAGAAAAATTATCGCATGTAGATTACTGTGAGCACGCAAGAATCTCTGCAAAAGCACTCTTTTTTTTCAAGCAGATTGTACAACGTATACTAGTAATTCGAAGGTGCTTGTGTTTGTGTCAAAACGAAATCTGTGGTTTGCGAGATGGTAGCCGGAAACATTAGTCCGAAGTCTTTTTTTTAATGAGAAATTGCAATCCCTATGGCTTTTTTATGCAATGGGAATAGTATGTCAAAAGTTCCTTGTGTAGCTCAAAACAGGTGTGTTGAAAAAACTCCTAGTAATGAGCTCTCATGGTGTGGTTGTAAATTTTATTGGAAGGGAGCACTAATAAGTGTTACTGCAAGGCGTTTCACTAACAATTAGCTGCTGTCCGATTTCTCTCTCTTTGACTGAGTCGTAATCGCTGCATGGTCTCAAGACCTTGTACTTATTGGTGCGTGGTCTTCGATGTGTTTTGGTGAATTGTTGTGGTTACCACCTCAGCATGTGTGGACTTCAAGAGTGCTAAGTATGCAGCGAGTGCGGGTATCTCGCAGTGTTGTTCACACTTGCAGATTTGGCAGCGGGCCCAAGGGTAGCAGTAAAATATTAGCGGTTTGCTAAAACTCTCCAGAAATGTCCTTCAAAACCTGCACTGCATTTGTGGGTTTACTGCTGAGAGACTGGCTCATTAGTGGGTAGTGTGTGTTTTCGGTGGTTTCATTGGCCTTGCCAAGATTTTTTCCGGAACCTTCATGAATTTACGAGGGCAGTTCTTTGCGAAAGTTCATGATAAATCTAACCTCCCCTCCTTCCTCTTTCAACCCTCCTCCTCCTCCTTCGTGATAAATGTTGAATCTCGAAAATAGCACAGAAGTCCGATTTGTTTTTTGTTGTCCAGTTTTAGTACTGTAACAATGCATTGATAAGATTGCCAGCAAATCTGGGTATTTTTTGTTGAATTTGTCTCGAGCGAGAGACCGTTGCGCACGGTGGGTCGTGTATCAGAAATTTGTTATGCCTCTGCTGTGTTTTTGGCGCAATTGAAGCCCTCACACTTGTATTTAAGTACACAGCTGCACCACAGGGCTGGTATCTTGAGCGACGTACATTGCAAATATGGTGGTTGCTGAAGCGCCGTCCATTTGTAACGTTAAATGGCATGATGAGACGATTCATTGCATCTATGGTGGCCTGTAGGTGGCACAAACATGGGTCGTTGTGTCACTGTATGAGCTCGATTTCTTCAAGGGAGATGGCATTCTTTGCTAGCCTGAAAGCCCATGCTTGAACGAAAATACACCTGTACGAGTTGTAGTACTGCCATATGCCGAATTACTCTTGCCAAGTTGTGATAATCTGTTTACTTTGCCAGTTTTAAGCGTCGAGTGTTTTACAAAGCGAAAGTGTGTACTTCTGGCACTATATTGTGATGTCGCTGCACTGGGATGGGTCTGGCTAACTCCTGCGCAGTGATTCGTGGGTTCATTCCTTGTACTGTGTGTTACAGCGATAACTGTCTTCGAATGCCAGTTCCCAAGAGCTCTATGCTAACACTGACCGAGCCATTCTTGCTGGCAAGAGTTCGCAGCACAGGGCTCGGTAGTTAAGCTCTTCAGTTGGCGATTTTATTGTGCGTCTTGAAACTGCAGAACGAAAATTGCTTGTTCGAGCACGGCCCCTTCGTGTAGCTTTTTGCTTGCGCTGCTCGAGCAAGGTTTTGTGCGAGGGAGAGATAGTGATATGCCCTTGAAAGTCCCAAACCTGCAAGATGTTGAAACTGGCATTGGAATCTGACAGATTCCTGACAAGCTGCCATGTATTAGAAGGTTGCCAGCTATATTTGTGTATTTTCATAACATGCTCCTAGCTTCGTGCTTCGCCAGAAACGGTAAATTCTACATTACTAGGTGAAGAATCGCACTTTTGCAAAAAAAGGCCGACTGGTATTCTGGCAAAAGATGTGGGAACTTGTTCGATCGGTTCGCTGAACTATCGGTAACTGAAAGCTCACTCAAGCTTATAAACAAGCAAGCTGTGCTTTTTAAGTTTGCTGCGCTTAAATGGCATTGTGAAGGTGTCAAGCTTGTAACAGCTTATGCGATACCATCTGCTTTATAATATTGAAGTAATGATTCTGGAATAATCGTGTTTTGTCGGTAAAAAATAGTTAATTTAGTTTCCTGTGTCAGTCACCGCCACTGACTTTAGCCAGCATAAATTGCGATTTCCCAATTTCGGAGGGGGAGGGGTGTCCTCAACGCCTGTCGGCAGTCGCTGGAACAGCCAGTGTTTTTTTCTGGAAGAGTTTCATTAGTACACTGTGCATTGTTTGCGCTATGCCTTTAGCGTATAGCATCGTGTGTACACAGGCCAAAGCCTAAGCAGGAAACCCTATTTTCGAAGTTGGCTGCTGAGCTTTGTGAATGGTTATATGCATCGCTTGTTGTAATCTTAGCTGCGAACTACTAGCTGTGATGATTGCCCTTGTTTTGTTGTTATGCTATCGTACAAACAGTTACCGTTTTGATGTCATCTTTCTCTTTTACTTTCTTGTGCATTTAGAAGCGAGCAAGTTGGGCCTGCAGTGGGTTCTCCCCGGGAAGGGGATGGGGTTTCGGGAGGTGTTTTGTAAAGCCTCAGTCATGATGCTTGAAAACTTGTGTGTATATAAAAGCTGTTCTTTTATGTGACAGTGTTGGTGTGATTACAAGAAACCATTGTAAGGTGCTATTCTACGTGCACGTAATCTATTTTTTTGTTTCAAGACAAAGTATGTGTTTGCCCCTCCCCCCCTGCTGACCCCTTTTTGCAGGTCTTAATATAGACCGTGATGGCCAACTGCATTTTGGACAAACCAAGATGCGGTCAGCTGGCCGAGCGATTTTTAGAAGTTGGACACCGTAATAGGCTTCACAACATAGCAGTGCCTTCGAGGGTTTGCATATAAAAGCCTAGCAGAACCCATTCGTGCAGATCAACTAAGTCATGAAACGAAATCGTCCAGCACATGCTTATTTTCATTGTAGCTCTTGAAGGTGAACCTTCAATGATGTTGACGAGTTTTTACTAACACATTTAGCTGACAAAACAAGGAAGTCCTTCACTTGATTAGCTGACTGTTTTAAGCTTTGTGTTAGCATTGTACTAGTTTATAACGAGGCTTTAAATCTGCAAATGTTAACATATCCAAGAGACTCGGCCAAGAGTGTTTTCAGCCACCCACTTCCACTGACTGTTGCATGGATGCTAGATATAATGCCAAGGGTTGATCTGATGGGATCATGGGCGTCAGCAAGAGAATCAAAAGGGGGCAGCTACACCCTTCAAGCCACACGAACGCTTCTTTGAAATTCTGCGAAATTCCGCCGACACCCATGTGTTAATCTAGTCGCGAATAAGTGATTCGAAACAGCGTGGTGTATAAAGAGCATATTTCAAGGCCTTCAATAGATGCCAAGAATAATAAAACGCGGCTGATGGTTCAGAATGATGCTCTTTTTGCCTGAAGGCACGATTCGCTTTTCATGTCTAGTAATCGTCATTATGTGCATGCAGCAATAGACTGTACCAATGGAATTCAAGGATGGTGTTATGTTTGCCGTAAAATATTGACATATCGATCATTCACTGCGATGCAGACTACTTCACTGGCGAATTCAAGACCAAATTAAATGTTCCTATCTGCCAAATATTACTCCCAAGTGCAAACGATAGTAATCGATATAGGTAGATGTTAGCCACCTTATAGATTTCAGATAATTTTGTGACATGAGTAAGCTGACAAAAATAAATGGAGCACACCCAACCATAATATTGGTAGCAAAAAACTATTTTTCTCAGCTTAGTTCTTTTAGGGAGCAAAAAAAAACATATACCGGTTGTTTCAAGCAATCTGTCAAGAATTTTCGAAAAATCTGGAAAATGAAATGTATGCTCGCTGTCTTCACTATTTTGTTTTCTAAAGAACGAATCTTAAACGATCTCTGAAACAGCTCTTTGACGTTTCATTTTTGTCAAGACCATTACTGGAGGAAACTATTGGTGCCATAGTTCAGTCGAAACACTTTAATAAAAAAGCTACAATTGATAATTAGCTGTGTTTTTCCTCTACTCCGCCTTTTTTGTGTTTATTGATCATGTCAACGCCAAGTTGGAGTTTTTACACGAGTAGAAAACCAATACAATTTTACAAGATAGCATACACTTGTATGCTGAAATTCGAGCAAAAAAATAATAAAAGATATGGGCATAAAATATGTTACAAAATAGAGACATACAGCGAACACAGGCATTCGCACATTCGGCTAGGCCGACTCCGTTTGTGCGCACTATCTCGGCGACAACTTTTCTTGGCATTGATTGAAGCGAAGGCTATGAAGCCAAATCGCGTCACAGCCTCCTAGATTTTTCTTGCCTGTAGGAGTATCGGCGGTCACTTAAGAAGCGGCCGTCGTCGGAACTGCGGTGGTGGCACCACTTAAGTAGGGTTGTCTTCAAATTAATTTTTACGTTTTGGGGGCTTGTGTGCAACGAAAATTACGTTTAAAAGTTTTAAAAGGGCATAAACATAATTATAGTTAACCCTACATAAGTGACGACGCTATAGATGACAGGCCTTTTGTGCTCATTCAGCAGGCAACCCTTTTAGGGGAGATAGATGCTTCTCGAAAAACTTCTTCAGATATTTGTGACAGCTCAATGAAACTTTCTCCAGTTATAGAGTTGGAGCTCCTCTTTTCAAATCTGCTTTTATTTTTTTCATGGCTCATTTGGTTAATTTTTGCAGACCATGCTTTTGTACAAAAAATGCATTCTTGTGCTAGCTTAGGCAACAATAGTAAGCTCAAGAAAACTCTAAAAAATAGCCAATGTTGCTCCTAATGAATTGCAGAACTTAATAACGCAAAAAAACATTGCGTAACATTTGTGTGCTGGCCTAGAAAAAAATTCTAATGCTGTATTTGAGTTTTACCATACTCAAGGAACAAGCTTCTGAAATTATCCAGCTGAATATGCCTTGGAAACCTCTGAAAGTTGTTAATTTGAATTCAGGACATGTGAAACTTTAAGTATGCCAAGTTTCATTGCAATCCGACTACGTAAAGCAGCACAAATTATAGTGCACAAGCTCTAAAAACGCCGAAAAATGAGGAACTGAGAAAAAGCAGTTTGAAAGTTCAAAAACATGTTTAATACTATACTCTTCAACCAATCTGAATGAAATTCACAGAGAATGTCAGCAAAGCTATCTTGAAAATTTGACAGTTTCAGAATAATCCAGTACCATATATTGGACCCTTACAGTCTGCAAGCTGTCTCCTCCCAATGGGCATATTTTTTTTTCGGTACTGCGGCGACGGGCTGTTGCTTTCGGGCTCATTCGAGGTTTCAGCGGCGATATCAACTTTTTTTTTTTTTTGCGAATGGCAGTTCGTGTGACGCACCGGTTTTTTAACACCAATGATTGCACAAAACCCGCACAAGCTGCTCGTGTCCGACGCCTATCGCACGCAGTGCGACCACCGACTTCACGCTCACAGCGAAGCTGTCCCATGCTCTGCCGCTGGCGGACCTCTCCTCGCTTCCCAGCATGATGGATACACGCGGCTTGACACATACGTGGACGAAACAACAGTTGCAGCACATGCGTCATTTCGGCGCTAAAGTTCCGAAAGCGATGCCAGTCCTTATCGTCTACTTGCCATTACTCAAATAGACAGCTCGCATCACCAGCAGTTGGAGCATACTATGCCACTGGCGAGGTTGAATGGCATCAGTCTCACAAATAAATGTGCTTCCGCGTTCGTCCTGACACTTGCTTTAGTCGTCGTAAATCTATCTTTCACTCCGAAGCGCTGCCGAAGTCATCGACTGTAGGACTAAAGCTCGAACAATTCAAATCGGGTGCGTCGCTGCTGCGGCTAGGCCTAGCAGCAGACAGACCTCTCGCCGGCGCTCACTGCTTGCGTTTGGGGTGCCTTCCCTCGTACTGGTGCCGCGTAATGAACTTCCGTGAACGAAAGTAGCGTTTCTCGCCGGCATACAAGGTGCAGAAATAATAACTCCGGCGGTTGTGTTCGTCGATGTCTCGGCGAAAGCAGGAGAATGAAGAAAGCGCTCGCATCCGACTGCGCGGCGGAATGCTCGCAACCAATGGCAGGGCTCCGATCATACCACGTGACTTCGAAGGCCCAGTTGCCACGCTAAAATGCTGCGAGAAAACGTGTGGTTTTTTTTTTTTTTTTTTTTAGCGTGAATGCCATTTTGCCGAAGTGGGCTCTGGGAGAAGAGGGTTAGGCCTACATGCCCGCGAAATTTCAAGAGCCGGCGACGCCATAGAGCGAAGTGCCGCGCGCATGAAAATTGGGTAATTTCGCACTTTCACGAGCCACCGCGAATGCTTTAATTGTATTTCTCTATAACTTCTAGCGGATTCTCAGCTTTGATTTTTAACCGTAACAGTATATTAAGGAGAAGGCTTGAAGGAATACAAAACGCAAGAAAACACAAAATCGACTTTTCCGAAAAAAAAAAATTGCGGTTTTTCGACCCGCATCTCCCCTAAATGCAATGCAATGCCTCTGAAATTAGCAAAAGCCAAAGTTGCTAATCTCAAAGGCCAAGAACAAAGACCCTTAACTCTACGTAGGTGACGCCGCATAGATGACGGGCGTTTTGCGCTCATCTGGCAGGCAAGAAAAATATGCGAGGCTATGATCGCGTGCATCTTACCGCCACATATTGCAGTTCCACAATAGCGCCCATATTTTCGATGTGAAGTATTCAAGTCCCCCACTTTATTCTCGAGGTGGAGCGATTTGGGGCAGGACGCAGCTTACAACGGTTAGACAGTTGTATTTATTCAATTTTACAGCGTTTTCGGACGCACGAAAAGTCTTTTTACCCGTACCTCAAATGCTGAGCGGCTTCTGCACCTCCAGTCCAACGCGGCGCGAGGGGGACCAAAACAGAACGAGCATGCCGGATGTGAAGTGGACGTAAGTCCAGTAGTCCTCGTCTAGCAACTTGGCGCGCCGCGTGGTCCTTCATTATTGCATCCCGACCATACTGAGACGTGTCATTTAGTCCGGTCGGCAGAAACGTGTCGAAAAGTAGTGTGACGGGCAAATAACATGGGAGGTAGGAAGGCTGCAGTCCACGATAGATTATGCACTGATGTCACATAGGAGGAGGAGGATTAAAAGAGGAAGGACAGGGAGGTTAGCCAGTTCTCAGACCGGCTGGCTACCCTGTACTGGGGAAAGGGTAAAGGGGATAAAAGATGAGAGGAAAGAGACGTCAAAAAAAGAGAGAGAGAAGGACGATCCACGACGCTGCTTACAGTCTGTCGCTAAGACCACTTGCCCGCAGAAAGCGCAACAACACTCTCAATGCCTTGCGTGCAGAGGACGGTCTCGGCCAGTGTCCTAATACCCGAAAGTTGGTGATTGTCTAGTCTATCTAAAACTTTCGACAGTTCTTTTCTTGGCACTCTGAAGCGAGGACACTCGCAGAGAAGATGGAGAAAGTCTGCGCAGTAACATGTCGGGCTGCTGGCCATTCCGATTCGAAACGAATAAGCATTCGTAAAGGCCACCCCAATCCACAGATGGCACAAAAGTGTCTCCTCAGCTCTGGTTATTCCTGTTGGAAGACGGAGCTGTAGGTGTGGGTCCAAATTATGAAGGCGCA